AAGCATCATGTTCTATTTCAATTTGTGGGCCAGCCTGAGAGACAATAAAATGGAGGCTTAGGCTGGAGAGGAAGGGAATGTAGAAGAAAATTCAGAGGGAGGCTTGCCCCCAGGGAAATCCTGGCACAGTTGAGACATGTTGGGTTGCAGAAGAAGGAAGTACACTTGTGTCTTCAGCCTGTTAGCAGCTAGTTAAAGCCTCAAGGAGTGTGCAATGTAGTTGAGGAGGTAACAGGACCAACATGCTGGAAGCAGTGGTGAAAAATAAATCCTTAGCAGTAAACTGAGTGGGAGAGGCCACATGCTGAGAGTTCACTGGGAAGGACTGTGGCACTCGGGATGTTCATCAAGATCCTAGAGATGGTGGCACTTGGGCTGATCCTGGGAAGAGGGTCAGTGAGGAGACTAGAAGATGAGGATGGGAGGAAACTTGGCGGGTGCTATGGTAATGGGTTCCTGGGACAGTGGGAAAAGGACAACTGGGGAGAATCAGGTGGCAGAGAACCACAACAATCAGGCAAGTGAAGATTCTGAAACTGGAGCCAAGCTGCTTGGGTTCAAATCCCAGTGCCTCTCCCCCACCCCCTCCCAATTTACTAGCTATATGACCTTGGGCAGGTTACTTAACCTCTTTGTTTCTCCGTTTTCTTATTTGTAAAGTAGGGATAATAATAGCATCTGCCTTTTGGATTGTTGTAAAGATTAAAAGTATAGTTTACAGTCTGGCAGGTGGCATGGTGGTTAAGGCACTGGACTCCCATATGGTTGACTGTGGTTGAAGTCCCAGACCTATGACTTGCTGTTTCACTTTCTCTCTCTCTGGTCAAAATTAAATAAATAAATAAATAAATAAATAAATAAATAAATAAATAAATCTATCTTAAAAAAAAAGTGTAGTTGAATAGGGAAAGGGAGTTGTATAAATGTAATAGCATTTGACCTGCAACGAATGTATTTAAGTTTGATTCTAGGGTGAGACTGGAGTTGAGGAGGCAAACTGGGGAGGGTGTTGAAGTACTAGAGGTGCCAGGTAATACATCCCAGACTGAGTGAATTTTAATAAAGAAGAGGGTATGTCTATCTGTCTATATTTTAAAACTATTATTTGCTTGGGATGTGAAAAATATTGGTGTACATACTCTGCCATGGTTCTGTAAGCCTTCATATAAACAGTACATCCTGAAAGAGGTATATATGAGCTGGAAGTGTGGATCTTACAAAATGTGGGCATTTATTCTCCCCTTCTCTCTTGTTCCACAGTATTTAAACTTTTTTTATTTTTATTTTTTTTTGGTACCTATTCCAAAACTTGCTCCTAATTGATTTGGAGCAGGGGAAAACAAAAACAAAAAATAATGTATATACACACACGAATGTGTGTGTGTGTGTATATACACACATATATACATATATATGTATGTGTGTGTATATGTATATGTGTATAAATATAAATTATTTGGAAAGAGACAGCAGGTTACACTTGCAGATAATGCGGGGTGACCAGGGAAAACCCCAGTGTAATCTGGAGCTGTATTAAACAGGTATGATGTATAAAGCCTTTTTCACTTTGTGTCATGTCAATGAGATCCTTGTTGGTACTCGAGCTGCTTAGCAGAGTTCAAAGAGAATGCAAAAAAAAAAAAAAAAAAGGGAGAGGTGGGTAGGCCTGTGGAAAAATGATTCAAAGAATAAAAAATATATTACTGAAGGAAAATTTTGTAAGCCTGGTATGTTTAGTTTAGGGAAGGGAAAGATAAAGGGTAAATTAGCTAATCCTCTCAAATAGCAAAGGATTTAAAAATTTTTAATTTTCAAAGAATGTTCCACAGAACCCAAGTTCTGGGAAGAAGAGAACAGCTTCTGAAGTCAAGTTAGGTTGGGAGGCCATGTGCTGTCTCCTCCATGGGCAATTCACAAAGCATATTAACATCTAAAATGGTTGAGGATTTCTGTAGGAAAGGAGTCTGTTTCACTTCGACTATCCTGGTGTACTCTAAACATTTCTTTTATCTCTGCAAACTCTTATTTTTCTAATACCTGTAGAAAATGCTGATTTTAAAGTTGCTAAATTTTAAACAAATTTAGTAACAAAACAGTAGAACACATAAGAAAAGATTTGCTGTGTGAGACTGAACATGATGGTGTTAATATATTAGAATCTTCTACTTAGGAATGCTCCCCTCTCTTGGTGGGTGGTGTCACAGAAGAGAACACCATCAGCCAGCTATTCTCAAGGCCATTATTTGCCTGTCTCATGGGTGGCTGCCACTGGTCCCTTCAGTCCTGAGGGCCTAGATATAAACCGAGCCATGTAGACTCAGGCTGGAAGCTGGAGTTGTCTGATGGTTAGTGGGTGGAGGAGCTTGAATGGACTGGACCCATTGGCAGCAGCTGAGATGGATGCCCTTGATGCTGGCTGAGGAAGGACAGACTCAGACCTGGAACTTGACTGAGGCTGCTCTGGGGAGACATGGCACCTTGTGGACATGGAGTACACATCTGCCTCTGTCAAGAGTGAGAGGGTCTGGAGCTGTCAACTATTGTGCTCGTTAGGAAATTCAGGAACCAGAATTCAGAGACTCTTTTCTACCTGGAAGGTTTATGGTACCTTCTTCATTAGAGTCAGTAATTCTCTTTCCATGTTTTACTTAAGACCCAACTTTCTTCTCTACCCTTTATGTTCCCTTCCTTTTTCCTCTTTAGTTTTTACTCTTTTTTTCCCTCTTCCCTCATGTTCCTCTTTCCTCTTTTCTTTGAGACAGAGGGAGAATACTAAGGTTTTCTACCCTGTCATTGCCCTATTATTTTCTTGCTTTTTGCTAAGAAATATATGCATCTTACTCTTATTCTTAGGACAATCTTTTTGCTTTTCCTGATCATAAATGACCTTTCCCTCTTCCCATCCCCATAGAAATGTGAATGTCTGAGTGTCTCTTTCTCTACACACACACACACACACACACACACACACACACACACACACTATCTTGAAGGTACAGGATACACCTTTTGTGTTTCATTTATTGTAAAGTATTGCACACATCTGTAATTATATTACTCTTAAAATAAAGCCTTCATCCACTCTTAACATCTTTTGATGTCCCTTCCCTGCTGACTCTATTTTTTCTTGTTCCCACTTTACGTTAATGTGAAGAGACAGTTGAGTAAATGCACAATGAACTTCAAAACCTAGTAATTGTTTTTCAGAAAGAATGAAACTTGCGAATTAGATATGGATTGTAAAAGAACACCAGGGCTGATTAGTGTTCGTGAGGGGCGCCTGCCGGACGGCTCTGACACCTGCCTGCCAGCACTCTCCAGAATGCCACTGGTGATGCCTCTGTTCTGCCCATCACAGGGCGGGGGGAGAAGTGGTGGGTGGGAGTTAAAAGGCTCCGCAGTGAGCCACCTTGTCAGGCTCGCCCATTCACGGGACGTCTGACATAAAAGGCATTGAGAAACAAAGATGAGTTGCATCCATTTTACAAGGAAACTCTAGTTATCTGTAAAAATAAAATAAGATAATGTTTTTTAAAAAAGAGGGAATGAATGAACATTGAATGGGTTTACCACTTTTTTTTTTAAGATAGTAGAGATAATGAGTTTTTTGAGACTTGAGGGAGGAAAAGAATTCACAAGCTAAGTTTCAAGCTGCTGAAAAATTGCTTTTAGGAAAGGGAAAAAAACCCACCCTTTTCCATGCTAACCATCTGCTTGCATCTTGTTTACTGCCCAGAGTGCCAGTTTGTGCTTATTAATCATGCTTACACAAGTATCTTAATTACTCCCTATGTAGCTGCTCTGTCTTGAACTCAGAAGTTGACCTTTCTCTTTTTATTCCTTTAAATCATTAATCATACACAATCAACGCCAGCGGGGCAGAGCCACGGAGAAGGCTACCCAGATTCTCACACCTCACGCCAGTCCCAGGCAGACAGGGAACGCCAGAGTGACTGCTTTGCCAGCAGCCTGGCAGATCTTAATTAATGGCTTGGCTGTGTGGAAACACTGCGCTGGGAGCTGAGGGGGGCCTCTTCCTCCATCGCCCCTTGGTGCTTTCCCTTGTGCCTTCCATTGCTGCCTGCTTTGAGAGTGACTGCTTTATTCTGCTGAAAACCATAAAGGCCTCTGCTCAAATGCTACAGACCTGCACACCTAGATGTCTCCTGAAGCATCCGAGCAGAGGTTGAATGAACTTATGAGAGGAGATAGTATTTTTACCATGAGTCGGGGTTGGTAGTAGACTGGTGCTTCTCACATTTTCCATGTACTTGAATCTGGTAGGAATCCTGTTAAAACGTAGACTTCTGATTCAGGAGGTCTGGACAGGACCTGAGAATCTGCATCCCTGACAGGCTCCTAGGCGATGCCGGTGCTGCTGGTCTGAGGACTAACTACATTCTGGGTAACATAGAGCTAGATGATTGATGGCAGCTGAGGCCCTCCCTCCAAATATAGAGATATGATAAGAGAATGTCACCTCTAGGGTGTGACATATTTTTTCCCTTTAGCTAGATCAGTAGCAATATTTTGGTGAGAAGGAATAGTAAGAATTTTCACACAAGTGACATACTCATGCCCAAGTATGGCACCTTTATTTGGGCAAGGGAACACATAAGATGTGGTGGTAGGCTTTTTCTATGGGAGAACTGGCGAAACTGAGACTTTGTAAAAAAATCTTTGCATTGAACTTTGTAAAAAGTTGCTTAAAATAGTTGGAAAAAAAATTCTCCAGAAAAAACTGAAGAGCTCGAAACTAAAATAATAATAAGAAGAAAAGGATTGAGGCTTGAGTTTCACAAGGCTGCTGCTCAGTTCCAATATACCAGACAAATTATAGGATGCAAAAGTAATTTTGTTTTTCCCTACCCTGTTCTTTCCCCCTCCTGAAGACGATGAGAAACTTAGAGATAAGAAAGAGGGAAAAATGTAAACTGAAGGCCTCTTTTGGCCAGGTTGAATGTTCAACTTTTAAAGGTCTGACATTTAGCTTCTCTGGCAAAAGAACTTGATTTTTGTTGTTGTTGTTGTTTATCATGATTAGTTTTACATTTAAGTGTACTATGTGAAAAGTTGTATGGTAGTAATGGACATATTAAATTTTGACTGGAACTTCTATTGGTGACATAAAGAAGAAAGAAATTTGAAACACATTCTAAATAGGGATTGGGATTTGTATACTATCCCATCTAGGGGAAGCTGAGTAGATCATACACCGATGTCATGGTTCTGTCCTTGGTAATCCTTAGGAAAGAAACACATAGAAACATGTTTTAACTAACCTCCACTGCTTTTTCTTTCATCCAAACAATGGAGTTAGGGTCAGGGTGGTAAAGGATTTTATTAAAAACAAAGTCTTAAGTAAAAGCAACAGATCTGTATGACTGAAAAATCACCTAATTTATTCATATAAAAAACTTGTCATTCCATATGCAATAAGAATACACGGTTAACTGGCTTTATTATTTACATTAAAATTACTTGTTCATGAAATAAAAAAAATCAATTACTTTGAATGAGGTGAATTAAGAAAGTATTTCATCAGTATGGCTTGTCTTTTCAACTGGCCGCTTTTTTAGAGTTTCTTGTTGATTTATGAAGTGAAAATTCTGTCTTGTCTCTGGCGAGGACATTCTGTAGCCTTCCTACATAGTTTTGGTATTTGGGTATGTGCGTGTTTTTGGCAGCCTGGAGAATATCCTGGCTGAGATGACAGAGGGACATAACTCACTTTTCTTTTGGTAAAGTAATAATTAATTTGAACTTCTGGACATGAAGCATTTGAGAACTAGAGCTAGGCGCCTTGCATAACCACGATCTGCTGTTAAACTCTTTATTGAAGACTCTTCTTGTTTTTGGCACTTTGTACTGACTTCAGAGCCGGCTGATTTAAGTGTTGAGAGCCTGGTTTGGCAGGAATTGTGTTATGTTTTCTCTCTGAAGGCCATGGATCTGACCTCTCTAAGGAAGCCAGGCTATTTTTAGGGAAAGGCTAGTGTGGCATTTTTCTGGGGGAAAATCTATGTTATTTTTCATAGAGAATTCTTAGGGCAGGAGGAGAGAAGGGGCCAATGCCTCATTTAGGACCCTGCATCTGTAAACAGATTCTTCTCTTCCCTGCCCAGAATTGGTACTTTGTCCCTGAGTGGATTCCAGGTTTGCTATTAAGGGAAAGGACTATAGATCTTTCATATAAGAAGTATCTAAAAGTCCTTTATTTAACAAAGAGGTTACAAATACCTAACGCCATTGGTCTGGGCTGGGAGCCTGGAAATATGTCATATCTATGGCTCCCCAGGTCATTTCAGCGTTCCACCAGGATTGAGAACCACAATAAAAGTCTTCATTTCTGTTCTGCTCACTTCTGTATATTTCATTCTGTAGCTGCTATACCTGTCTAGAACCCCATCAGTGTAGCTCTGGAGATAAAAGGGTGACCTAAGCGGGGTGTCTATCTTTGAGATACCTACAGACTATGGAGAATGGTACTCTGAAGTACCAGACTAACCTCCCAGGTCTTGACTTTGCCTTCCTTCTCCTGTTTTTGGTGGTCTTGTCATGGTTCTTGATTGTGCTTGGTCTATCATTCAGCACTTACCTGAGCTTTGTTATAGGTATGCTCCCCATGCAGTTCTAACTCGGGGCTTAGTTTAGACCTGTAGTCCCAAGAACATAGTGTAGCAAGGTTCTCTGGTGAGGGTTGCTGGAGCAGCCTGAAAAGAACAAAGTTTAACGTTTGTCTTGACTATAGGGCCCTTCAGAATATTCTCAAATACACAGTCTTTTCCACTTATATCTTCTCATGAACTCTCTTCATTGGGAGGCCCTTCTGTGGGTTAACTGTCCCTAAAGTTTACTTTGGCCAGTGCTGTTCTAACCTCTGGGACTGGGTCCAGTCTCCACTCTAGATAATGTAGCCATTTTTATGTTTGGTCTAGACTGCTGACTTGTGAGTTCTGTCTTGGGGCCGTCTGGCTCCCATGTGTCTGTTCTTTCTTCTTTAATTTTTTTCTTTTTTACTTTTATAGACCCTAGCTTTCTCCCATTGGAATCCATAACAGTATGCCATTTCCATTTCTAATACTAACAATGGCAAACCCCAAGTGATAGAGACTTCTCCATTTCTTTCCTTGCATAGTTAGGTGGTGGCATCATTGATTCATTTACAATGGGCAAATCTATGTATTAGGTGATAGAGGTTGAGATCAGTTCTACAAGAATTTATATATTGAGCACCAACTGTATGGCAGGCACTGGGCTTGATGACAGGCACACAAAGTTAGGTGATAGTTTCATTTTGCTAGGAGAAACTCAAGTACTAACTTAGAGCATAGTGATCCTGTCCTAATATCATTCTATGTTTCATGATGGTTGAAGGAGGAGAGGTAGTGGTAGAATTCGGTCTATTTAGAATTTGAAGGGAACTTGAAATCTTTTTATACATAAGGAAAGCAGAGCCAAGAGAGAGAAGAGGTGATTCGCCCTGGCTGAATAATGGGATAGGAGGGACTGAAGTTCAGAAGGCTGACACAACACTCCAATGATCTTTTGATGCTGGCCTGCCATTAGGTTGGCAGAAGGAATTGCCTTCATTCATTAATGCTTGTTTCCAAAAATACACTGTTTCCTCTTATTGGAACCATCATAAGACAGAGCAGTTAAAGTGAAAAGAAAACCCTTTCACATTCATGAGAAATTGACCCAAATCCCTAAGTTTTAAAAAACAAAATTCTGAAAACAAATCAGTGATGGACTGGCTTGGAACAAAAATCATTTGGAAGAAAGTCTATCCTTTAGCCCTTCAAAACTATATTGCCACCATTTGCAATACACTACCACCACTATCCATCTCCTCACTCTCCTTGTTAATTCCAAAATCAAAATCAAATACACATATTTTGAATTGCTATGAAACTTTAATCTTTATTAATTTCACTTATTAATTTAATGTCAGGGAAAGTTGTGAAAGAGTTTGAAATTAGCAGAAAAGATTTCTGGGTATTTTGTCTAGAGCATTCTTCTAGGTTATCAGTGCCTTCTACTGTCTTTAGTCTACTGAATATTTTAGAAATATGTACATTATAGGCAACTGATAATGCAAACAATTCTCAGCAAATAGAAATGGAAATGAATTGTGTCCTGTATTATGCAATTTTTCTTACCCTGTGGATGTGAGTTTTATGTCTATTTATAAATTTAGCATTTCCGATGGGCAATATATCTGTGGTACTTTTGAATCTGTGAACTGATATAACATCTCACTGGTTCTCTCATTAACTGATAGATTCACAACATATTTACATGTATTTATTTCATATTTATATGAAAGTCATGATTTTACCTTGTTTAAAACTTTATCTTTTAACAGTATGAATATTCCTATTATTCACTTTGGAAATATGAATGTTTACTAGGGATGAGAGCTCGTATCTAGTTTAAAAACCATATTACTTTTCTAAAATCTGAAAAATGTATGAATTATAATATGTATATATGACCATAAGGATTTCAGACTGGGGATTATGGGACTGTGGTATATTGTTCCTTCTCTCATTGTGTTCTTGGTGTCAAGTTAGTCATAAGCTACTAAGCAGTTGGAGAAAACCAAAGCAGAACTCAATGAAAATATCTATTTGTTTTGAATTTTTGTGATGAGAGAAGTTACAGGCTAAACGTAAAGGAACAGTTCAACAAGAGTTGAGTGTTGAGGAAAATAGTTGTCCTTTTCCTTTTGAGATTACTCTAACATGCTGACCAGCACAATAAGAATAAGACAAGTATAGAAAAATACCAAAAAAAAAAAAAAAAAAAGACAAGTATAAAAACCAGGCACCACAAATGCTCAGCAGTACTCTATGATAAGATGCTTTTTTAGCCAAATAGATCCAGAATTACTTATTTTTTAGGACATAATCCTAAACTTACAAAATTCTCACATCTGTAGATTCCCAAAAATACAGTCATGGATCATTGTTTGAGAAATCAGGACAGGTTTAATCAATCAGTTGCACAAGTTAGTTGCAATTAGTTGGCTCTTTTCCTGAAGGCAGTTGGGATAAAGAGGAAGAGGGTGGCATGCATAAATATGGATATCTACAATGTATTCTTAAGAGAGATTCTTGCTACAGGGCATGTGTGCTCACCAGAGACAGACAGAAAGCAAGAAATCACTCCCTACTGGGGATGGCCATGCCACAATCCCTTACTTTTTGATTACCCTTAGCTTGTATCAGGAGTTTGATGTTTTTGTTTTCTGGAAATGGCTCTTTTTCTCTTAGATACTAGAAGCTTATTATGGGCTGTGTGGCTCAAGCATTTTTGTGATTCTTACTATGTTGGCAAACATATTCTTGTGTCATCATCCTCTGCAAATTATGGGATGTGGCTGCCTGGGATGCTATGTTGAGGATTTTCAGGGTTGCTTCAGTGAAAATGTGCTGTAATATGATGATAATCCTTCATGAGCACAGGTATGGGAAGTGTGGGCATGAACCTCTGTCTGCCAGGAAACACTTGCAGATTAGGTCAGTGCTATATAGTACCATGACACTCTTAGGTTTGTCCCCAAGTCTAATAATATGAAGACAAAGCTTTTATTTATTGTATTATTATTATTTTTTTTGGTCTGCTTTCTCCCCAAACAGTGTCTCACAGAGGATAGGTACTCAGTTAAAAAACATTCTTCTGAATGAATGAATTGCTAACAGAATGAGAAACTTTGTATAGAACTTTAGTGCAATTTAAATATGACACTTAACTAGTGATGTAGCAGCATCTTAACTAGTGATGTAGCAGGATACAGTTAATAAAACAGGTTATCTCAACTTTCTAAAAGTGGTCTGGCATTAAGTTTTTGATTATTAAGGAGGTAGGAACTCCAGAGAAGAAGAAATTAATTGGAAATTGCTGCTTTGCTGATTCATTCAGCAAATGTGTGTCATGTGTGTGATGCATCTACTGTATGCTAGATGCTTTACTCCCTGGCTTGAGGAATTAGTCTGGGAGACCCTTTCCTTTTTCTCATATGGTTATGACTAAGCTGTGGCTCAAGTGTGTAAATATCTCTTTAGACACCATAAGCACATAAACAATGTATTGCCTCTGAAGGACTTCCTTCTGGGTGTAAGATGCTGATAAAATTGTGTGCATTTTCCTTCTAACCCTGTTGGGTTCCTTATGTAGCTTTGGGGGTCCCCGCCGAGGTGTTGTTCCTAGTTCTGTGGGTATGAATTGTTTCAGCGATGGCACCCTGTTGGCATTGGGGTCTAAACCTGGAAATGAGGAGGAATGGAGCAGTGCTCCTCAAAGGGCAGGTCTTTTTTCCTATGACTTTTTTTTTGGGGGGGGAGGGGGAGGGCGGGAATTGGGTAAGGAATAAAACAGAGAGTCTCTCTTATGATGCTCTTGCTAATCCTTTAGCCTCAGCCCATTACAGCCTGAGGTTCAAACCACACACCGCCTCCCCAGGTCTGTTTAGACAGCAAGGGATGCATTTCTAAGTCACATAACATTATGCCTATTATGTAAAGCCAAATTATTTTGCGAATTATCACAAACATTGATCTGCCCTTGACAGTACTTTACAGTTTTGCAGGAGATCTGCAGACTGATACCGTTAGCAGGGTGTCAATTTTTGTCACTGGTAAGCTTCTTCCTTCAGTCAACTGCAGTTTGAAAAGAGTCCAGCATAACAGAGCATTGCTATCTCTTAAACTTGGCTCTAACCTTCAAAGACTAATAATTTATTATTCGTTGTTATGCCTTAGTACTTTTTTGGTGATAATATATCATTTTTAATATTGATAACTTGATTTTTGTAATATAAAGACATAAATAGGAGAAAAAGATAATGGTAGCTAAGTACTTTTATGGGTAGCAATCTGAATAGGGTTCTTGATGAAATTCATTCAACATTTATCTGCATAAATTATGGTAGTTAAAGGACAGGAGCAGATGAGAAGTACACTTAAGGCCCTTTTTTATAGCAGTATAAAAGAGAGCAAAAATTACATTCATTACTTTTTAAAATATAGCAACTCTATTATAGTTTTCATTCATTGAAAGTAAATGTCTTGATAGTTAATGAAACATTGTTTGATGTTCAGTAGAGTCAGTGTGATGGTAGAAGCAACATTTACCTTTTCATAAAGCCTTATCAGTAATGTCCCTACTTGGTCACTGGCCACTTGTTCTCAAAATACTAAGGGTACAAATGACCTTTAGGAAGGGAAATGAAATCCCCTTCATTAGCAAAAGTGAATTAGGTGCAATGTGTGTTTACTTTGTGAGCGCTAAAGTGACTTTGAAATGTGTAAGAATTCATTTGTAGAAGCCAGTGTGTCCAAAGCACAAAGGAAAGAAGCTGTAAGATCTTCTGTTGTCACTCTCCATCTCCTTTATCAGAGCACATCTTTCTAGTTTTTATACTCTAAATTTATAAGTAAAGATATGACTCACCTTTTCTTTTTCATTTGCTACTTAAGTTTCTCTTTTGGATTCTACAGACAAATTTTGAAGAAAAATAGTAAAGAGGTCTAGCTTGGTTAGAATGCTGATGGAGAGGAGCATGGCTCTTGAGAACTGGCTTTCTATTTCTAGTCTTTTTGTTCATCTTGGCTCCAAGGAGGCTTCTGGGTAGAAAGGTGCCATCTCCTTTAGATGCTGGTTTCTCTAGCTGGATACACTTGGATCACCAGGTTAGTTCTTTGCATTTCTTCTTTGCCTAAACTTTGGATTTTGTTTGCAAGGAGCTAAAATCAGATCAAACAAGAGAGGAAGGGAGGAGATGTGAATGAGTAAAGGGGTATCTTATAGGATCCAAGGCCAGAAGCTGTGGCTGTGTCTCCTGAACAGATGGAGCACAAACTGGACTAGTCACCTGGCGTTTTTTATCTTAAGGGAACTACTCAGATTCACACCTCTGCTTCCCTTTGCCCCTCAGCCATAATCTTACTTCCCTTTAGATCAACATGGTCTTAGTCTAGCTTCATGTGATCTCTCTTCTTTTATATAGGCTACCAGGAGTTAAAGCTTTGTTCAAAATACTTGGGAGTAGGGAATTTCATTGGTCCTGCTTGGGCTAGTCATCTACTTGGGTTTTCTTATTGTTGCCATGATTGTAGCAAAGGGGGTGATGAAGTTTTATAGGGTGATGAAGATTAAAGGCTGTCTTCCTTCTCAGGAAAGTAAGGAAGTAATTTACCCTTCAACATTTAAAAAGTTTTAAGTTTATTATGGGGATCTTCAAACATAATAAGAGTACTAAGAAATGTTTGTGGAAAAATGGAATTAAAGCATGAGTTTAGGTACTGCCACAAAAATAGACACATGGACCAATGAAACAGATTATAGAAATAAATGCAATAACAGATAGCCAACTGATTTTTGAAAAAGGTCACAAGACAATTTAGTGGAGAAAAGACAGTCTTTTCAGTAAGTGGTCATGGGAAAACTGGATATCCACTTACGGAAGAATGAAACTAGATTCCTGTCTCTCACCATTTATGAAAATTAACTGAAAATGGATTAAAGTCCCAAACTGTAAAACTATTTGAGGGAGACATGAGAAACACTTCAAGGTATTGGAGTAGGCAAAAATTTCTTGAATAGGGCCCCTTAAAACACAGTTAACAATTCCAGATATACACAAGTGGGACTGCGTCAAGCTAAGAAGTTTTTGCATAGCAAAGAAAACAATAAGTAGAAGAAGAGACATCCTAAAGAATGAGAGAAAATATTTACAAACTATATTTCAGTTAAGAGATTGATAACAAGAATATATAAGGAATTCAAACAACTGACCCACAAAACCCCCCAAATAATCCAATTAAAAATAGGCAATTGACAGGGCTGGCAGGTGGCATGGTAGTTGGGTGCACTGGACTCCCATGTGGCCAACTGCAGCTCGAGTCCCAGACCTGGCATCTTGCTTTCTTGCTCTCTCTTTTCTCTCACTCACTCAGTCCCGATGTGGTCAAATTGAAATAAATAAACAGATAAATAAAGTTCAATAAAAAAAATTCTTTAAAAAAAATAGGCAATTGATCTGAACAGACAACCCTCAAATGAATACATGCAAATAACTAAAAAGCATATGAAACAGTGATCAATATCTTTTATAAGGGAAATGCAAATTAAAACCAAATGAGGTGTCACCTAACCCCAGTCAGAATGGTTATAATAATAAAAAATCACAACTACTTCAGAGGTTACAGAGAAAAAGAAATCCTTGTGCACTGTTAGTGGGAATGTAAATTTGTATGCTGTTGTGAAACACAATATGGAGTTTCCATAGAAATCTAAAACTAGAACTATTGTATGACCCAGTAGTTTCACTCTTGAATATTTACCCAAAGGGCAGAAAATCACTAAGTCTGAGGGATTTTCACATTCATGTTTATTGCAGCATTATTCACAATAGCTCAATCATAGAATCAACCTAAGTGTCCAATGGTTGATGAATGGATTAAGAAAATGTGGCATATATACACAGTAGAATACTACTCAGCCATAAAGAAAAAACAACATATTGTCATATGACACAAAATGAAGAACCTAGGAGATACAACATAATGTTAAGTGAAATATGCCAGGCTATGAAAGACAAATACTGTGTCCTTGTTTAAGATACTGAATGTCCACACACTGGTGAAAACTAAAGAATTTGATGGCATAGAAGTAGAGAGTAATGGAAGCTACTCAGAGTGAAGGGAGAGTAGGGGGTTCAGAGAAAATTATTAACAGACCAAACCTCTTTAAAACTAGTAGACCTTATCTAATGTTCATAACATACCATAATGTTCAGTGTTGAAGAAGAATGTTTATATATTTGACTACTGCACAGTCTGCATACTTTGAAAAACCATACCGTACTCCACAAAGATGTTCAGTGGTTCACTGTAAACCCTAAATCACAGTAAGAATATGAGTTTACTTTGTTGCAAAATTTTTGAAATTCATGCGTAATGTTTTCATAATAATGTGTTTTCCATTAATCTTTTGAAGGCCCTCCTCATGAAACAAGGTAATGAGCATTGTCTAATAAAAGCCCATGTTCCCATCACTTAGCTCCAACAATCACAAGTATTTTGGCCCCGTCAACTGTCTTGCTTTACTGCTATCTGATGTATGGAAGGATAGTGTTTGACTATTCCAGGATTCTTAGTTATAACTCCAGATGTCTTAAAGGATTCTTGTCACAGCTCCTCTTACTGAATTTCTTTGACATTGTAGATCTACTTGAGCTTTTGTTCAAGAAACACACCTGTAAGAAAACTTAGGCATATATGCATCTTCCCTTGAATAGCCCTCTTATTATTATTTAAAGAGGACACAATTTTCTATGTATTAGGTGTGCAATAAAGAAATGCTAGACATTTAAAAAGGACTTTCTTTTCACTCCTAACTGAACTAAGTCTTTTTCTAGTTAATTTTTTGTTGCTCACGAGAAAGTGTTCTAATCTACTCTATTCCTTTATGGAGTTAGTAGACAGGTTCCTTTTTTCCTTTGTATTAGCTTTATTTCCCTCAGGCTACTCTGTGACAAAAAACCTGGAGGAAACTTGAACGTTGTATGTCTAAGAAACAGATTTCAAATTAATGGGTCCTAACTTTATTAGTGTAATCTTAAAATAGGTTATTTTATTTTCTTGTGCGACCGTCAGGGAGAATGTTTTTGTTCTGAGATGAATGGTCTTGTGAGAGCTTTATGATTTACCTAGGCAAGTCTAGAAAAGGAAGGGGCATCTTGGTAAATAGAGGATGGCCCTTTGGAGATTTTTGTAGTGAAGTGACAATAATGATTCAAAGATTATTTTCTTCTTTGTGTTTATCTGAAGGCCACCTTGCAGCAAAAATGATCTCCTTCAAAGTACATTCCCTTTCTGTAGAAACATTTGCTCTCCAAGTCACCTGTTTCCTTCTTTGCTATGAAGCTTGCTTATATTTTTTTCCGATCACCATTGGCTTCTGATGGTTGTTAGTTCTGCTTAAGAGCAATCTGATAATCCAAACTCGTTGCCTATTCTTTTTTTTTTTTTTGCTTGTGAAGACTGTGATTACTTTTAAGAAATTAAATGGTACTGTCCTATGAATAATACAGAAAGAAAATAGAGCCATTTTGTGCTTGGCTTCCTTGCTGCTGGAATATGGTATGTGAGCTGACATAAGCCATGAGCTTCCTAATCAGTTTTCTTTCATGAAAGAGGGTGTGTGTTTGCTGGATTACCAATTTCACTTGAAGGTATGCCTTATGGAACACTTTAAGTGGGCCATGGGGTTGAGGGCAAATCAGGAAGCATAAACTGTCACCCAAGCAACCTTCTTTACCTAAAATGTAGATGAAGCAGAAATCTGATAATTTCTTAGATTTAGGTGGCTGGTAGCTCATGGAATGTTAGATCCAGGAAAAAAAAAGAAAACTTTTGAGGGTCAGCTGGCTCAATACCTTCATTTTTTTCAGAGGAGAATACAGATACATATTTGTTGTGGTTTGTCTTGACTGGATTATTAAAAAAAAATACAAACTGTGAAATGATTAAGCCCTTGGTCAGTGCCTGTGCAGGACTGGGTCGGTACTGAGATCTACAGGAAACCTGAGCCTTGCCCTCTGGTGGCCCCTAGTTTGGGGCAAAATGTGGATGTAAACTTATGTATTCTCTGAGGACACTTTGACTTGCAATTCTGTGTTCAAGAATGATAAATTGCTGAGCAGAAATGTGAAGCCAGCTCACGAAAGGGTAACAAATTGGGTGTAGAATATTTTTTCTTTGCACTCTGACCTTTTGTGTCTGGGGATGTGACTAGGGTCTGGGACCTCAATTGGACAGATAGTCAATATTCTTTCTTTATTCTCATTTCTCACCCTTTATACAACCCTCCTTTACAACTTTCTTTGATCTCTTTCCCATTTTTTTTTCATGTTTCTCTCTTCCTTACTGTACTTCCTGACACATAGTAGGAATATAATAAAAATGTGAAGTAATGAATGAGAGGCGTATTATCTGATATGAAGATGATGAGAAGACTGGGGATTAAGAAAATAAGTAGCACTATTTTTAAGTCATTACTTGTTTTCTAGTTTGTTGTCTTTGAGAAAATATGAGTAATGTTTTCATGCTGGAGCTAGTTTTTCCTTGGATAAGTATTAAAAAATATTCCTGATTTTGTGTATTGGATGTGTATGAATGTTTGTGTGCAACTAGTAATATAAGTTTAAGGAAGATATTATACCAAGCCATTTATTTTATTTGATTAAGCCATTAGAAAAGACTAGAGATGTCTTAGTTCTGGGGAGATAAGTTTAACAGGGAGCAGATTTTAGAAACATCTGGGCAACATACACAACACCTTTCTGTTTCCTTATCTTTAAATGCAGCTGTGTGTGTGTGTGTGTGTGTGTGTGTATGTGTACGTGTACATATATATGTATAAAAATATAAAACAGGTAAGAGTGATAAGGTAGAAACAGCATGTTTGAAAGCTCCGATTTCTTATATCCCTTACAGATTTTTTTTCTCATGGCTTCTTTCAGATATATAAATATATGAGAACCTAGAGTTTCATTTTTCATTTTTTTCTTAGAGAATATTATATCTAAATAAGTGTCATCATCCAGTGATTGCTACTGTTTGAGCCTTCTGTCTTGAATAAAGCTATCCTTAAAGAGCCCCCTCGATCGCCCGCTTCAGATAATTGTCCCTCCCTGTTTGCCTAGAAGCACTCCAGCATTGAAGTTACTGCCCAAATGAGGGC